TTTATATTGAATTTCATCGCTATAGATGTTTTTTAAGCAATATAGTAATTTTATGAATAGGGCATAATTTGGGGGCTAGGTGAAATCGTTGACCGATATTTCGCATTTTCAATACCAATCAAACTGGGCCAATTAAAAATATTTTGGCAAAATCTTGTTTCTTTTCGACTCTATCGTGTTTTCAACAATAAATATATGTCTCTTCGCGGATTCGTTAATAATATTTATTTTAAAAAATAACTGAAAAAATAACGCTTTTTAGCGCAATTCAAAAATACTCCACATATGACTTTTTGGAAAACAATTTTAAATTATAAAATTCTTCCCATTTTATGTACAGATTAGGAGATTTCGTTCGAAATTTGGGTTTAAATTATAATACCATGTAGCGGATGTTAGCATTACATTCATAACTTCAGCAATATTTGTAAACGTAATCTATCCAAATTATCCGACAAATTGACCAAAATTTAGAATTTAAGACAGTAAAATTAAAACTAGTATACAACATCATCTAGAAAATGTAAATAAAGAACTAAAAGTCATGGTGAGATAGTAGAAGTCAAATATCACGAGTATCAAATCATTGCATATATCGCGATTATTGTTCGTCGTACGAGTTTAGATGTTATTACAACTTTTGTATACAATACAATTTCATATTCCTCAGCTGTGTTACTTAAAAATATCAGTTAATTAAATATTGTGATACTATTCTTGCATCAATTAGCGGAAAATACTTTATTAATTCTTATTAAATCATTTATCTTAGAATTTCGGCAAATTAGCACAGTATCTTTAAATTTTAAATTTAATTTGGAGGACAAAATCAACTAAGTACGTAGACTATTCCCACCAAATTTCATAAAAATCGAAATGCGAAATACAGCCTACTTCGTTTTTTCATATAAGTATCGTGAGTTCTTTACATAAAAAGTTCTAAGTTCTAAGCTCATAGGTACTTTTGCTAAATTCTAACCAATTAAGATATCGAAAAATGCCTTTGTGTACATAAGTATAACCAGTAGATGTACAAATTGCAGTAATAAAAAAATTTCGAATAGTAAAAAAAATTCCACATATTACCAAAATTCAAAACAGGACGATATGTATATTTACATAGTTGATTTAAAACTAGAGATAAAAGAATTTTTTTTTTAATTTTATTTTTAGAATAACAGCAAACAGCATTTAGTTTAATTCTTTGCAAAAAATAACCAATTTTGGTTAATAATAACCAAAGTGGCAACACTGGTGAGAACCTATAAAAGAGGATTTTTTGGTACTTTTTCGTTTATCAAAAGGTCTTTTATGATTTTTTTACAATAATGAACCTAGAAACATGAAATTAAGTATGTAGAGCCCGGATTAGGTGAGAACCCATAAAAGGGAATTTTTTCGTTTTTTCAAAAGATACTTTTTTAATTTCTATAATATTGAACCTAGAAAAATGAATTAAGAGCCCTGATTATGTGAGAACCTATAAAAGGGTATTTTTTGGCACTTTTTCGTTCTTCAAAAGGTACTTTTTGAATTTTGTATAATAATAAATCTAGAAACATGAAATTAAACATTAATAGCATGTTTCTACATAACGAGTCACTCAAAAATTTCATCCTAATGAGTGTAAAAATTTGATTTAGGTTTCTGTATATTTTATTGAGTGAAAACGTAAAAGTTATTGTCTTTTTAGGTTTTTATATTTCAAAACGATAGGTAAAGTATGTCAAAAACAGACGATTAGAAAAAAATATTCGTTAGAATAATTTTGAATTAGTTTTGTTTTTAAATAGTGAAATAATCATGGATTCAGATAATAAAAAATGGTAAATATATGTATATTTGGGGTAATAGTTGAAAACAATGTTTATAACCGTTGGAAATTTGCAGTGTCAAAAAGACCACTGTAATTCAGTTCCAAAAGTTAGTTGCTTCAATGGAAGAATTTCCTAATCTCGCAAAAGGAAGCCCTACATTTGGAAGTAGCCGAGCTGCAGTGGAGGAAACATGGGACAAAGTGGCACAGAGAATAAATGCTTACGGACCCCCGGAAAGAAATGGATCCGAGTGGAAAAAAAGTATTATTTATAGTTATTAAATCAATTGATAAATTAATGATAGATCTTTCCTAGATATGGCAAGATTTAAAATGCAGGTTGAAAAAGAAAATTGCAGACAACAACAAAGGCCTTAAAGGAACTGGTGGTGGCCCATGTTCTTTAAATAATTTAACGGCTTTGGAATTAGATATCGATAAGATATGCCACCTCACGTCAGCTGCCGCACCTGGTGGACTTTGTTTCGGAGTGCCTTCGTCAAATAAAGTACTTGATATATCGACTAACCAACGGGAAATAACAACATCAAACACATCCAAAAGACAAATTTTATGCACACAGAACAATAACATAGAATGTTATCCCTTGCCTCCTATACAAACCCCAAATATCACAGACATACTAACTCTATCACACCCTAAACAACCATTAAAATCTCCGATCCTTACGCCACAATCACTTAAAATTAAATATTTATCAATTCGAACAGAAAACAACAAAATCGATAACACAGAACCTCTACCCTCATTTCAAACACATAAAAAAAGAAAGAAAAGCGAAAACTATGCAGAAAAATTTCAACTTTTACGTCAACAGGTGGAAATACAAAATAAAACATTTTTTATTTTGGATAAACAAGCAGAAACATTTCAGAAAATGTTTCAAAAGAATCAAAATTATATTCATCATCATTTATGTTGTCGTTCTCAGGAATTTGCCAGTTATTTTTATAAAAAATACAAATGTTATGCAAAGTGCAACAAGCGTTTATTATTTTTGTAGTTTTTTCTGGACTACAATGTAGTCCCCTTGAACCAATTATTGCTCGAAATCTGTTTTTCAAAACGCCATTACATCTTTCTATAACATTTCTAATTTTACAATGCTTTTCATTATATTTTTTTTCATGAAGTTCTGTTGGATTTCTGTAGGGGGTCATCATATAAGGCATTAATTTGTAACCAGAATCTCCTGTTAAAGAAACTTAGGTAAATCGCTTATTAATTAAATATTTTATTCTAAATTATTATACCTAGGAGCCATGTGTTTCTCCTTCCATTTAAATAATTTGATTTAAAATAATGTTCCGCTGCACTTTGGTCCCAAATAAAAGAATCATGATTAGCTCCTGGATGTCTTGCGTCCACATATGTTATGACCATATTATGATCACATATCTATTATCAAAAAAATATGCACAGCATGTATAGTATAGTATAGTATAGTATAGTATAGTATAGTATAGTATAGTATAGTATAGTATAGTATAGTATAGTATAGTATAGTATAGTATCGTTAGTATAGTTAGTATGTAGTATAGTCTAGTATAGTATAGTATAGTCTCGTATAGTCTCGTCTCGTCCGTCTCGTCTCGTCTCGTCTCGTCTCGTCTCGTCTCGTCTCGTCTCGTCTCGTCTCGTCTCGTCTCGTTCGTCTCGTCCGTCTCGTCTCGTCTCGTCTCGTCTCGTCTCGTCTCGTTCGTCGTCTCGTCTCGTCTAGTCTCGTCTCGTCTCGTCTCGTCTCGTCTCGTCGTCTCGTCTCGTCTCGTCTCGTCTCGTCTCGTCTCTCGTCTCGTCTCGTCTCGTCTCGTCTCTCGTCTCGTCTCGTCTCTCTCGTCTCGTCCTCGTCTCGTCTCGTCTCGTCTCGTCTCGTCTCGTCTCTCTCGTCTCGTCTCGTCTCGTCTCGTCTCGTCTCGTCTCGTCTCGTCTCGTCTCGTCTCGTCTCGTCTCGTCTCGTCTCGTCTCGTCTCGTCTCGTCTCTTCTCGTCTCGTCTCGTCTCGTCTCGTCTCGTCTCGTCGTCTCGTCTCGTCTCGTCTCGTCTCGTCTCGTCCTCTCTCGTCTCGTCTCGTCTCGTCTCGTCTCGTCTCGTCTCGTCTCTCTCGTCTCGTCTCGTCTCGTCTCGTCTCGTCTCGTCTCGTCTCGTCTCGTCTCGTCTCGTCTCGTCCTCGTCCGTCTCGTCTCGTCTCGTCTCGTCTCGTCTCGTCCTCTCGTCTCGTCTCGTCTCGTCTCGTCTCGTCTCGTCTCGTCTCTCTCGTCTCGTCTCGTCTCGTCTCGTCTCGTCTCGTCTCGTCTCGTCTCGTCTCGTCTCGTCTCGTCTCGTCTCGTCTCGTCTCGTCTCGTCTCGTCTCGTTCGTCCGTCTCGTCTCGTCTCGTCTCGTCTCGTCTCGTCTCGTCTCGTCTCGTCTCGTCTCGTCTCGTCTCGTCCGTCTCGTCTCGTTCTCGTCTCGTCGTCTCGTCTCGTCTCGTCTCGTATAGTATAGTATAGTATAGTATAGTATAGTATAGTATAGTATAGTATAGTATAGTATAGTATAGTATAGTATAGTATAGTATAGTATAGTATAGTATAGTATAGTATAGTATAGTATAGTATAGTATAGTATAGTATAGTATAGTATAGTATAGTATAGTATAGTATAGTATAGTATAGTATAGTATAGTATAGTATAGTATAGTATAGTATAGTATAGTATAGTATAGTATAGTATAGTATAGTATAGTATAGTATAGTATAGTATAGTATAGTATAGTATAGTATAGTATAGTATAGTAGTATAGTATAGTATAGTATAGTATAGTATAGTATAGTATAGTATAGTATAGTATATAGTATAGTATAGTATAGTATAGTATAGTATAGTATAGTATAGTATAGTATAGTATTATAGTATGATGTATATATGTATATAGTATAGTATGTATAGTATAGTATTTAGTTAGTAGAGTATAGGATGTAGTATAGTTAGTATAGATATATAGTTAGTTATAGTATAGTATAGTATAGTATGTAGTATAGTATAGTAGAGTATAGTATAGTATAGGTTAGTATAGTATAGTATAGAGTATAAATATTCACGTATGTAATAATGCTTACCAACATCACGTTTATAACTAAAATAACCCCTTACGGTTATAGTATCAATGATTTCTTTCGTTTCCAGGTGCCTTTATTCGCACATGAGTGCCATCAACACAACCCACGACCCCTGGTATTCCACCATAATTATAGAAAAACTCTTTCACTTCACTATCATTGTTTAGCTTCTAATTTTATCCATTTTGAACACAAGTACCTTTCGAATATTTCTAACAATTCAGTTATTACCTTGGACACTTGCGATTTTGATATGGACGAAAAACATTCATTTCCAATTGATGTTTGATAACCTCCCGTAGCCAGAAATAATAAAAATGTTGCAAGTTTGGTAGGTGCTGGGATGTGTGTATTTCGATATGCCACTTTTAAATTTGGCGTTATTTCTTCAAGTAACATCACAAACACTTCCTTATTGACTCGAAAGCTAGCAATAAATCTAAATTCCTTTGTATGAATAAGGATTTATTACACATTATGTTCATTCTCTTACCGTTCTTCTGGAAGATCTAAAACATTTGTGGCATCTCGTATATTCCTCTGACAAAGCCGTGTATCATCGTTATCACTTTCACTTGAATCACTATCCAGACTTATGGCAATTGATCCAAACATATTTATAAATTATACTATTTTATTTTTTTAATAATTTATTTATATATGCCAAAAATTAAACAAAATGAAAAATTGTATTTGACAATCTCATAAATTTTAACGTAAAGGGACGAATGGTTTAAAAAAACTCATTTCATTACGTACTCGTTCGCATACTACTCGTTCGTGTAGAACTATGCACGTTATGTAGAAACATGCTATAAGTTTAAGATTAAGTGTGAACCTATAAAAGGGGACTTTTTGGTTTTCAAAAGGTACTTTTTTAAATTTTTGTATAATATTAAAACTAGAATCATGAAATTAAGCATTAGAACCCGGAGTGAGTGAAAACATATGTATAAACGGGGACTTTTTGGTATTGACTGTTTTTTAACACATCATGGCACATTGGTTCAAAGTATGACTTTTTCCGTGCGAAATTAATAACTATTAACCTATTCTACTGTTTAATACCAAAATTGGACTACGGGCAAAAATACTTACGTTTTCAACAAATCTAAAAAAAAAATTAACCCTTTGTCGACCTTTAACCCTCCAGAAGTAAAAAAAAATATATTAGAAATAAAATTATTTTAGTTTTCAATGAAATTAGTTGAATCAGATAAAGGTAATTCATTTTCTAAACACATTTGATTCAAAATATTAATTGAAGAAGAGGTTAAAGCATCTTTTTCTTCGTATTCATTATCCTCGTTAAGATTCTCTGTTGGATAAGTACAACTTAAAAGTTCGATAACTTCAGGTAGAAGGCTCTGATTTTTATGTTGTTGCATGCGTCTGCTTAAATATTTCGTAGATATAACAGGATCAGATGAGTCAGTTAATGCGGCTGTTTTTGCGAGCGTGATGCAATCTATCGACTTTATAAAGTTTGTGTCGCGATTCAGCAGCCATTTCGCTAAAGAAACCAATTGGAAGTACTGTGTTTTCTATGATCTGCTTTGAATGTATCAATACCTTGTGTACTGTGGATGTCATTGGTAACCAAGGATACAAATCTTGTATTAATTTGGCTATTTGGAAGCAGAACGTTTGAAACTTACTGGGATTTAAGGAAAACTGACATGATAAACATATCAGTATAATTTTAGAGGGCAAAATTAAATTATGATTAACGCCCGTAATATTAGAAAAAATTTAATCACTGGTGAAAGCTCGACGGGCGGTGTTGCCGTCATTTGTGCTACCAAAGCCACCAACTTTCGGCATATCTACGCGAAGACCCAGCTCCCTCCAAAAAGCATTTTGGATATTTTCTTTCCTCTTTGAGACTGCCAGTATATGATCATCCGTTCTAATTTGCAATTTTTGTAATTCACACTTATAGCCTAAATGTAAAATGAACTCAAAATATCTGATCCAGCAATGGAGAGGGCTCAGTTCGAATTTGAAGTTAGATTCTTTTCCACGAAATTGTTCAGATGTATAATCTGTAATATTCATAAAGTCCATTGGTGTAGCACCGCATATAGGACAGGCTTGATTAGATTTAGTCCCAGTTAAAATATTTAGAACTTTCTCATCAATTAGTGTTAATATAATTTAAATGATATTTCAACTGTTTTTCCATTTCAAATATTAACATGAAAGTTTTTCAAGACGTCAATTTCATTTTTTAAATCAATTTCCTCTGTTTCTTTTGTTTCTTTTACATATTCCAACTTAATAGGCCGACAAAATCTTGTTGACTGTGGCGTATGATTATTCCAAATTGCCTTTCCAGAGAGGGATAAAAGTCTCAATGGTACAATCATGAAACACTTTCTTATATTTCGCTTGGCCAGTGCTGCTGTCGAATCCGTAACTAAATATTAATTCAGATTTTAAATGGTCAGTATTTTTATCCTTCTGTAGTTCAACTAATCTCGTAGCAGTATGTACTACAACTGATGGTAAGGGGGCTCTTGCAATTGTCTCTATAACTTTTATACCGCCAGGCCCGCATTTCAATTTCGCAGTCAAAATTTCATTGTAATGTGGATATATATCGCAATTTCTCATTTTATAATCACGGCGTATTGCATTGTACTGGTCTTTTGTAAAATTGTTTTCAATAAAAAAGGCTAACGCCTCATCTGCAGAGAATGGAATTGGGTTAAGAGGACTACCAGAACACAACTTTTTAATTTTGGAAGATCTTGTTGGGCTCGATATACTTTCTTTAAGAACTGAAGCCAAATCTGCGTCTCCCTGCTTCCGAGCTGATGTTGCTGCTGCATGAACTAATAAATTAGTTTGCCCAGCCGTTGCGTTTGAAAGTTTTGCCGCAGCTCTTCTTTTTCCATATTGTGATTTATTACAAAATGGAATCTCTGGACGTCCGACAGCCAAAGAATTTCTTTTCCCAGCTGCTTTCAAAATCTGAAAGCATACATCACCATTAAGCCATGTAGCGTTTTCATTTCGAAAACTTTGTTCCTTTCTTCCGCATTTTTGCCATTTTGTTGTTAAGTAATTGCAGAAATGGCTGACTTTTTCATCCAATAATTTCCTACAAGACTCAGCAATAAGAGGCACACTAATTTTCTCCTCCACATATTTTATAAGGGCAGCGTTGTCTTTTGGGCATTCTTTTAGCCAAATTTCAAAAAGTTCATTTTTTTTATACTATAGTAACCTAGAAAAAATTTAATAACTCAGAATGCGCAATATGAAATAAAATGAAATGAATTTACAACATTTCAATCTATTCAATTCTATTTATTTCAAGTTTAACAAACTTTAACATTTTTTTAAAAGGTTCCATGAAGTTAAAGTTTATAAATTAAACACAATCACTTAAAGTTTATTTGTAAAAAATTTTTTTTTTCATATAAAGGGAAATAATTTTTATATATTTAGGAAACAAAAATAAAGTACTTACACTCCTCATTGTTTTCCATTTTAAACTTTAGTTTAATTATTTACACACTTTCCACAATTAACGGTTAAATATTGTAATATAATAATACACACAAATTTTAAAAATCGTATCAAAACTTTGACTTTGAAGGTGTGCTGTTAAGCAGTGTTATGTTTTTTACATAAACCAATTGTCAATTTGATTGCATTGGAGTCTTAATAACATGATAACAACAAAAAACAATGTATAATGATAACTTCGAAATTTGAATTTCGCACGGAAAAAGTGATACTTTGAACTATAGTGCAAACCGATTTGCCTGAAATTTTGCATACCGATAGGTATAAGCTTGGAAGAACTATAGGCTATATATAAGATAGTGATCCGATGCCACGCCCCTTTCTACGCTCACTTTTTATAAAACTATCCTTACCTATATCTCATCTTATAATTATATGAAAGAGAATGTCTGTTTGTTACACTTTCACGGACAAACTGCTGAACCGATTTACATGAAATTTAGAACACTAATAGTTCTATTCTAAAGTGGAACAATAGGCTGTATAAAATCATGGTTTGACGTCACGATTCTTCTTATGCTCACTTTTTTCTATATAATTGTTATACAAAATTTTTATTCGAGACTTACAGAAAATTACTGAACCGATTTACATGAAATTTGGTATACCGAAAGGTCTGATCTCAGGATCTGGATCGGACGCCACGCCCCTTTTTACAGCAACTTTTTGTAAAACAATTATTAAACCAAATTTACGTTCAGGCATACAAAAAACTACTGATCCGATTTTCATGAAATCTGTTATAATGAATGTTGTGGAATGAACAGTACGACACATTACATGTTCAAAACCTATAATATATAATAATAAATATATATGACACTATTTTTTACTCTTTCACTACATAACTACTAAACTTATTTACATAAACTCTGGCATATTAATAGGTCCAACCTCAGAACATAAAAAACTCTATATGATATTGATTGGATGCTACACATATTTTTATGTTCACTTTTAGAATATTAGCTATAACACCAAATTTCTAGGCTAAATATATAAAATATGAGCCGATTTTCAAGAAATTTGGCAACATACAGTGTATTTTTGGAATCAACATATTGGTCTGGATTGTATGCTTCATGAAATTTTGCATGACAATAGTTCTATCGTGGAAGGTTAGGTTAGTTTGAGGAAGAGAATGTTTAATGCATCAAATCCGAATAAATACACCTATAGCACTAATTTCGGGCCTGTTGTGATTTTAATGAAATGCAATGACCTTTTTCCGTCCACTTTTTGTTACATTTATAATGTTAAAGATCATGATATATAATTCTTACAGTATATGAGAATTATTATTTAGTTAAATTTCAATCAAAAATTTTTTTTTTATATGAAAACTCTAAATTGTTTGTAGATCCTTAACAACTTTACGATTAGGTAAAATAAAAATCTGTATTCAATTTAATTTTCATCTAAAGCGTTTTCCACCAGAAAACTGTTTTTATTTCAAAACCTGTAATCTGCTGTATATTCTCAAAAAATAACTATTTTAAAACTTAATCTATATTATAATCTAGATTAGCAGAATAAAAACTACTGAACAAAAACCGCTTCTAAAATAGGGAAAATAATATATTCATATTACATTTTCACAAAAATTCGAATTTTGGTAGATCACCATATATAACACCTAAATCTATCTTAAAAATCATTCATATCTCCCCTTAAAATCTCTATTTATAAAACTCTTTAAAATTTTACTTTAAATAACTCTCAGTTTGAGAAAACAATAAAGATCTGTAATCACTCATATTTTCCATACAAATCAAGTTTTATATAAAAAATATAAAACTAAAATCTATTGTTAAATCGAGATAACAATAAAAATCTGTGATCAGGTAAAAAAGCCATCAAAAAAAATTCGGTTGCCATTTTTTAAATGTAGCCCAAATCTAAAAAAACAGATATGAATTTGACTACTCATTAGAGTGTCCCGAAATACAGCACTTTTGCAAATCTTATATAGGTAGACCTCTAAAATGAGGCATAGAAAGCATTGTTCATATAAAATTTGGATAAATTGATCTTTCGATATCTTTTTATACTTTTAGAAAATTATCGACCAAAATTTCTACACAACTTTTTCTGTATGTGCGTCGTATTTATTCCAAGCTTTTCAAATTAAATAATGATTTCATATAACTCCAGCACACATTTTCCATTTACCATTTACAAATTCCGAATTTAGTTTTAATTGGATATTTTAATAATTTATTTTAATAAGTAAAATTAGTTGGATGCATAAAAGCTAATGAATAAAAATAATATTTTTAAACATACTTTTGTATAAATGGATGTATTTTTGAGAAATAATGATGAGACAAAAACGGTTACTCTTTAATGAACAACTCAAAATTGTTTGTCAAATTAAGATTCAAGGATTCTTCATATTTACCTAGGACAGAAAAAAAGTTAATATTTTTAAAGGATTTTGAAACCTTTCAATGAGCCCAAATTTTTCATGATTTTGTGCAGAATTTTTCATAATCGTTTCAGAGTTTCTTCAATTGTCTGTACTTTTTCAAATAGCAAGAATATCGCTTGAGATTTTGTACGGTTAATGATACGTATTTTTGTAGTTAATAAAATGCCCCGAAGCCTTTTGCCTCTTTACGCCAGGGGCACTACAATTCAATATAAAGTGTGACCAAATTTAAACTGAACAGTTCTTTAAATCTACTGCACATGGGAAAAATAAAACAACTAATTTGAAAGTGTCCTTAGTTCCCTACCAGTAATTGAGAATGCTGTGCCCCGTTTCTGTAATTCTCGCATCGAAAAAATCTGTCGAAAAATTCATGATCATCTTGTGTAAAACAGGGTGAATACAAGAAATTTAAAAATTTCTTATTAAATTTTAATGAGTACAGTTTAAAAATAATCCGAGTCACACTGTTAAAAACTGGAAGACTATTATATTTTAAGTTTTTTCTCGAAAATTACAGCAATGAGGTACTGATTTCAGTATAATTTCTCAAAAAAATGTTTCTTAAATTGTCAAAATTTCCTAATTTAAGCTCATTTTCAATTTGTAAATTTTTAAGGGACTTTTTGGTCCAGAAACTGTCTTTAAGTATTAAACAAAATGCAGAAAAATATAATAACTATTTTATCGTTATAAGCAAAATTTTGACATTTATTAAAAAAAGTATAGTTATTACAGATAGAAAAATATTCTCTTTACTTTTAAAGAAACCCGGGCAACGCGTGGTACGCGCAGCTAGTTGTATATATTGCCAAAGAAATTCTCAAAAGACTCCTAAAAATTTGGCAAAATTGTCTTTATGTTAAATTTTTGCGAAGACAAAAAGTTAGCAATTTAAATAAAATTTCTATTTATGAATATTTATAACGAAATCTTACAGTTGTGTATATAGATTTTTATTGGCAGCGTACAACTAAAAAAAAATTTTGAAATTTCCAAAAAAGTTTTGAAAAATCCCAAAATGGATTTTTTAAGTTTTTGGTTATAATCAAAGCAAGGATTTTCATGCACTAAAAAATTAAAAATATGCACTATAAAATGGGGAAATATGCACTAAAAATGTGGAAAATATGCACGGGCCTATCTATAGTGGGCATGGCACCTCTCATATAAAGAAAATCTTAAATTAGTATATCTGTGAAAATATAGAGTCCTCAATTTTTTACGGAGCCACTTTAGTATCAAAATGAATATTTAGGACAAAAAATGAGCGGACCAACAACAGGGGTTGTGAAACCTCCCATATGATTTAAATACAAGAATTCGTTTATCTGGAAAACTATTAATGCTAGAATTTTCAAGTTTTACAGAAACTATTTTGAAATCAGTGTTAACATTTAGGGACAAAATGAGCCGAACAGTAATAGGGGGAACTGCGCCCCTTATATGAACTAAATACAAAAATTCGGAAATTATTAGAGCTAAAATCTTTAAATTTTACACTGAACTTTAATGTAAACATTTGGTGGGAAATGGGCAGACTTTCATTAGGGGGCTTGGAATCTCCCACATGAATTAATTACACAAAATTCGTATATCTGAGTTAAAATCCTCAAATTGTTGGGGAAATTTAACATCCATGTAAACATTTGGTGGAAAAGGGGGACTTTCATAAGGGGGGTTTGGAACATCCAATATGAATTAAATGCCAAAATTTGTATATCTGAGAAGCTATTATAGCTGAAATCCTCAAATTTTGCACGAACGACTCTGACATCCATGTGGGTAATAAATTGGCGGACTAGCAATAGGGGGAGTGGTACCTCCCATATGAATTATATTCAAAAATTCGTATACATGGGAAGATATTATAGCTAGAATCCTTGCACGAATAACTTTGACGTTGATGTGAAAATTTAAAAAAAATAGGCGGACTTTCAATAGTGTACATATCTACTTATATTAGATTATTCAAATTTTTCATATGTTACATTAAAAAACAAATTAACGTGACATCACCCATATGAAGTAAATACAAAAATCGTATGTCTGCGAAATCTTCAAAAATCGTGAAATTGTTATTATATTTATATTGGTTTTTGGGTAGCAAAGCACACTGGGTATAGCTAGTAGTACATATGTATATCATTAATTTTTGAAAGTGGAAAAGCTTACTAGCTCCATTCAAACAACGAACATGTACGAGTTAAAACAAGAAAGTATAGTCGGATACGGCCACCATATTGTCATACACCAACTACGAGTATTCTTAAAATATGTTGAATTTTTCTTTAATTATATTTAAACCTTTTTTTATATGTATATCATTAATTTTTGAAAGTGGAAAAGCTTACTAGCTCCATTCAAACAACGAACATGTACGAGTTAAAACAAGAAAGTATAGTCGGATACGGCCACCATATTGTCATACACCAATTACGAGTATTCTTAAAATATGTTGAATTTTTCTTTAATTATATTTAAACCTTTTTTTATATGAGAAATAAATTTTCTGAATGAGGGTTTATATGGGGTCAAAGGTCAAAAATGGTCCGATTCTCATAAAAATTGGTGAATGGGTGTATTTTTGTGTAAATTATATTTATTCTGAATTTTATCGTGTGGTATTGTATGGAGCTAGGTTGAGAGAGATATATGTACAGATGGACAATCTAAGTGATTCTGAGCCGATATTTTAGGGTGGGTATAGGGCCAATATTTTTAAACGTTACAATCATCAGCACAAACGCATAACACCCTCCCTATTATAGTTTGTGTTAGAAAAGTTTTAAAATATGCAATTTATGCATTTATAACAAAATATGCAACAACAAATCGATGCCATTTTGTAGCAATTTTTTTTCATTCGAGAATAAAAATAGATAAAAGTTATTTTGAGTTACTGACTGCAAACATGCATTTGAATAGAAGTCCTTGCCCTGGATATAATATCAGGGGCGGGGTTATCGAAACCCTTTACACAATAATTAATAAGATAAGGGCCATCTAAAATTTATTACGATAGTTTGGTATCGACATTGAGATTTGAGAATTTTTTTAATAAAAATTTTAAAAGACATTTTTGATATCTTTTTATCATGATAGTATAAAATAAAAGATTCAAAATATTTCCCAACTCTTCCTGTAAGCTTGACATCAAATTTGACTTTGTTTTATCAGTAGAAGTATTTTAAAATATTTTTTGAAAAATGTACTTTTTAAAACTTTGAAGTCCTTTAAAAAGGACACAGGATCACGAAATGAAAAACAAAAAAACGCAGTTTTTCTCCATTAATTTTATAGTTTCAGACGTATATCATCCGGTTAGTTTCTAACGATTTTTTCTCTTTTTGTCGGACGGTGTAATATATGTACCTACATATGTACATATGTTTTTACATTGTAAATTTTATTTATTTTCTTATGTTCATACATACTGTGTATAAAATGTTAAAAATCAATTTAATGTGTAAATACAAATATTACTCACCATTTCATCTAATAAATGAATAGTTAATATTTAGTTTAGTTTAGATTCTTTATAGTTTTATTATTCCAAAATACATACATATTTCTATTTCAAATATGTACATTATTTTATGCATTTTAATTTCGATTATATACATTAATGTTATTATAAGTAGTAGTGATAGTAGAAACAGTTTTTATTTAATACATGAGTAGTTAGTTATTAGTTGCTAAAGCTTCAGGATACAAAAGACATGACCACTACAAGTACCAAATACTTCGAATTGTTCTGAATGTAGTTATGTTCCTGGCTATAGAACAATGATTATATAGCCAATTCACATTTATCTGGTTGCTGCACTCAGTGGTGCATAAATGCTTTACCCGGTATACATAAAGTTATCAATAATTTATTAATCATTTATTATTTATCTTTCCCATACAAAAATCTAGTTGCCAAGACAATTACAGTCGCTTCAAGCCAGAATCGGACTCTTTAATAATAGTTCTTAAAAATGTATTTCATCCCAAATGTACCTGATCATTTTTGTCTATTTTAATTTATAAACAATGACGATAAATTTTGCTTAATAAATCAAAAAGAAAAAAAAAAAAAAAAAAACAATTTTTATTTTAGTTATCGTTTTTACAATATATGTCATTAAAATTATTTTAATAAAAGGTCCGAGTTTCGCTTAGAGTGACTCTATATGCAGATATTTAAAGGGGCCGAAAATAACTACACTAGCTTTATTTAACTCGTCTAAGTTTAGAAAAAATATTGGAAAAAAAGTTGTTTTAATATTTTTTCTTTTAAATATCTGCATATTGGTATGGGTATGTATGCCAAAACTTGCATTTTTTTATTAAATTAATGTACATTATTTTTTAGCAGAATGTTTTGTGATACAGGAACGGAACCTTTAATGTGCGCTTTAGAAATGTGTATGTAAATAAAAAAATAAATTTTGGAGTATCTGTTTGCATTTTATCTATTGTACTATGTTTTTTATTATCTATGTATTTTTGTCGTTTTCATCCTTGTTCTTCTTCAAATTCATGATTTATGTATTAATTTAGTTATTTATTCATTATAAAATATATATGCATTAATATATGCATGTATATCATATATAAACTATATGTACATGTTTACTATTAAATTACATACTTATGTACATATGTAAATCCTTAAACGTACATACGTACATATCTACTTACTTAATATACTATACAAGCATATAAAGGTATTTTATATATCATATTATATATATTTCCGATCAATAGAAAACAAACAACAAAATGTTTGCCATCTCACTGTGTAGTTGTTTTAGTAACTAAGTTTCCTTTTACTTTTGTATTTTCCTATTCCATACATAGTACACAAATAAATTAATAGGCACAAATGTACCAAAGAGTACAATTAAAAATATATATTTTGATCTTTATCTAGTAAGTGTAATAATAGTAATAAATGATAAAGTTTCTTAATATTAATAACTATAACTATGACGACGGCGTCGATGGTAATGTAATGAAAATGATTTTTTATACCTATTGAAAATATCGTGTTATTGGTGCTGTGGTGATTTTAATGGGAGGCGATCTTGGTCATATTTTCGTATAAGTTCGCTATAGCAACCCATAGTGTAGAGCTAAAGTTCACATGTAGAACTCCTGCTCGGTGAGCAGAAATTCTCGGGTATAAGGCGAATGCTAGCATTTCGGTATGAATGATTTACGAGAGGGCAAGAGACACAAGATGCTTAATGCCATTACCATGTGCCAAACGGAGTGAACGATGTGATAGTTTTGTTTGGTTTGCAGGAATGCATAACAGACTAGACCCACCATCACAAGAACTGTGCCCAATGGCATGTAGACTATTAAATATCGGCGAGCCGGAAACCACTTTCGAGACTTATAGCAACGCATTCCCCAACTGGCCGATATAAGGCAAATACCTGTAAGAGCTGGGGCGAGAAACACCCAGAGGCTTTGCTTATTCAGTTCAGTGCCAAATGCTAGAAGAATGGCTCCCAACATATGGAGAAGTGAGACAAACTGTTGTCGTACATGAGACATCGCCACCAGTGTGACCCAAATAGCCAGTAATCCGCAGTAGAAATCACAAAATTGCAACACTCCAATTTTAACTAAGCAAAAACTGTATTCGTCTTCTCCCGAGTCACAGGCATGGTAGAATATTGAGAAGAACATGGCGAAGAAATAAATAACGGCTTCAGTGTAGAATTGTCGGCGACCAGCAATATAAATACTAGGAAAAAATAATAGATTGCTAAGCGTAAGTAGAAGTGAGGCCATTAGAATAGATATACTGGAGGGAACTTGAGAGTCTTCAGTACAGTCCCAACCTCGGTAACCTTTCATGCAAACACATGTTGAAAAAACGAAGCCACCTGACATGTAATGATAGCAGCGACCATAACGACCACATCGTCCAGCAACACAGGGACTCGAAGAAATGGTAAATACAACCGATGTGCTACAGTTATCGATGGCAAAGTGCTGCTCTGTGGCGAATTTATGGTGAATTTCAAATTTTTGTGTCATCTCAAGGTGATTTGATGTACATTTTGAGTCCATAAGACACTCTTTAATCTTTAGGGTCTCAGTTTCATTCATAGCAGCAAAACAATTTGGATCATTAACACATTCTCGGTATCGTGGAAGTTTCGATGCACATGCGCATGGATGACGCATGTATTCCAACATGTGAGTAAACTTCTTGACAAAATCTTTAACACTATCAATGATAGTAGCACGAGATGTTGTCTCGGCTCCGTGGCAATACAAACCCATGGTGACATACCACCGACCGCTTTCGGGAAAAGGAACATGTATTAATCCCGTACTGGTATTTGAGTCAGTGTTATTGACTATACTAGATGCAGGTAGTAGTCGTCGTCCATATCGACATTTATCGGGCCATGTAGGCTCTCCAGGTTCACCAAGATGCATGCAAACAATAATAGTTTGATTACTGCGAGGCAAGTTTTTACCGTTCGATTTCCCCTTGTCCTGTTCTCCGTCATTGTTAGAATCCATGTTGGGACTGCCAATGAGCTTTTCCGCTAAAATTCCACTACGTTCACTAGTACTAGGAATAGAAGGCATCGCTTTTACAGCCTCTGGGTTAGAAGCTTTCAGTCCATGTTTCATCGATACTGCAAAGGATAAAGTACCACCGATATCATACACTTCACCCACATCGAAAGCGAATCCTGCAGGCATGCCAGCAGTAAGATTTAACACCGATGGTACTGTGCCATTTTCATCGGGCACTAAATCATAGTCATACATAAAAAATTCACGATAAGTTTGTCTTAAAAGTGGATAAAACTCCATGTCGCGAAAAGGCTTGGGTTCCCAAATGTTTCTCTCACTTGTACTGTGCGTGTTATTAACACTGGTTTCATTTACATTATTTTCACTTGTACCTTCATTTTTCATTTCATCATGTTTATTTGCATTTTCATTACTCTCACTTTTTGTATCCTGGTCCGATGGTTCATAGAAATCAATTTGCATTACAAACGGCAAATGGTACCAAGTGGCCGTCTCATTACCTTCAGTCATGGCAGCTGTTACAACATCGTCCTCGTGACGCTTTAGTCGTTGCAAGTTCTCACTGTTTCTTAGTGGCACATGTTCATTTTGTTTGTCCTCTGGTTGTATCTGACCTAAAATAGAATTAGCCATAAAACCCCTCTGGCTGACAAACTTGAGTAGGGCATAGTGCCAAGTCATGGGTTGCACATAAAACTCAATAGAGATTTCTCCTGTTTGATTTGGTTTTATAATAGTGCTGTGTATGTAATTACTTTCATGACTCTTCTCAGCCTCTGCTCCAATGCTGGGAAAGGCGTTTGCCTGTATATGAAAGCCGACATCGGGACAATGTGAACATACATGGGCAAATGAAATGCGTGCAGTGGCTACTCCAATGTTACGAGGCACATAGAATTTGTAAATGATTTCATTGTTTGTGGTTTCAGTGGAACTGTTTCTATTGTTCATGTTCATTTTACTATATGATTTTGGGGTCGATGTAGATGCAGATGTTAATGGTAAAGTTGATGCAGTATTTGGGGATTGGGTGGAAAAGTTTGATGATGGTGTTTGCATATACGTTTCAGTTATAGAATCCGTTTTAGGTACTGTTGTATTAGTTTCTGCTGTTGTCTTTGTCTTTGTAGTTGAAGTTGTTACTTTTATATCAACGTCAGATAAAGTTGAATTGTTGGAATATTTGACATTGTTTACAACATTCGCATTTTGCACAACACTGTTGCTAGTTAGAGTGTTATTATGCACTTGACCATTATTTATGATTATCGGATGGAAACGTGACACCGACATTTCGGCCAACAACAATGTGTCACATGATGCAGCCAGACCTGAAATAAAGAGGAATGTTTAAAGACCATAATTAAATCTGTGTGTAATTGCTCTTAATTGCGATAAAGACTAAATGGTTTCTGAAATGCGATGCATGCATACATTAGGACGGGTCGAAAAAACATTTTATGGTCGAATCAATTTCTAAAGCAACATTCACAATGCTAGCAACAATTTTGTTTCTTATCCATCCTTTCATGTTTAAAGTTTTTATACCCTACACCACTATAGTGGGGAGGGTATTATACGTTTGTGCTGATGTTTGTAACACACAAAAATATTGGTCCTACACCCACCTTTAAGTATACCGATCGACTAAAAATCACATTTTGAGTCGATTAAGACATGTCCGTCTGTCCGGCTGGCTGTCCATGTAAACCTTGTGCGCAAGGTACAGGCCGCAATTTTCAAGATAATTTTATGTTTTTTGGCACAAGGACGAAGCCTATTGAAAATGGTTGAAATCGGTCCATTCTTTCACCTAGCCCCCATACAACCGTACCTCCCGATTTGGACTTTTTATGCCATAATTACGTCTCTAAAAATTGGCACAAATAAGTTTTATATAAGTATAAATGACACTGCAGATTTTCGTAATGATCGGCCCTTATTTAACCCTAGCCCCCATACAAACCCCTTTCAAAAAATGTCTTAAACGTCTAAAATTGACATGTAACCATTTGTATCGCAATGAAACTCAACATAATTAACTATTATTTAAAAATATATCCTTTTCCCAAATTTAATAAGGATCGGCCCATGTTTGACCTATACTCCTATATAAAGCCTCATTTAGAAAATTTGTTTTTTATCAATAAATTGCTTAAATACTTTGGAATTAAGGTAAAATTCAACATAAAAGCTTCTTTGTGAAAAATAAAAATTTTTAAAATATACTCATGGTGTAGGGTATTATATGGTCGGCCATGCCCGACTATACTTTCCTACTTGTTTCAAATTATATTCATAATTTTGAACAGTGACCCCATCGGAAATTTCGAATAGACGGACGTTGCACAATGGGCCAGCATTTTATGAAAGTTCAAAGTTCACTTTTTTTAAGATTTTTTTCAACAAGCTTTAAAATATTATAGTTTTAATGTAAGGATAATGACATCAAAAGACGTCCTTTAATCAAGGATATCTCAAAATTAAATCTTTACATAGGATTGCTTATAGTGTATTCAACAATATATAAAAATTCAGAATGGGACAAAGAGAGGATCTCAAGTAAATCAACTTTTAGTAAAATAATCCATATCATTTCCATACAAATTTCAAAAATGTAAAATTTTTGTTCATGAACAATTTAATTTTTTTTCAAATTTTTAAATTTATTTGTGTGTTCATGAACAAATAAAATTATAAATTTTGTAATTTATATGAAATTGATATGGATTATTTTACTAAAAGTTCGTTTGCTGGAGATCCCCACATTGTCCCATTCTAAATTTTTTATATATTGTTGAGTACACTATAAGAAATTTTGTGTGAAGGAATAAAGAAAATGAAAGGTACCCTTTTTGAGATATCCTTGACTAAAGGACGTTGTTTGATGCCATCATCCTACATGAAGAATGTGTGTACTGAGTTTCATCGAAATCGGAGAGGGTCATGTTCAAAATGCTACTTTTCGCAATTTTTTTGAAATTACCCTATATGTATATAAACTGATTCATTACTTTACATTTTTTCAAAAAAGTTTAATAAAATGTCCGGAAAGGAAATACAACTGTATACACATATAGGGGATTCACACGGTCCTCATAAAGTCATATATCATAAAATAATAACACGAAAAAATGTATATATGTATGTATGTATGTATGTATGTATGTATGTAATGTATGTATGTATGTATGTATGTATGTATGTATGTATGTATGTATGTATGTATGTATGTATGTATGTATGTATGTATGTATGTATGTATGTATGTATGTATGTATGTATGTATGTATGTATGTATGTATGTATGTATGTATGTATGTATGTATGTATGTATGTATGTATGTATGTATGTATGTATGTATGTATGTATGTATGTATGTATGTATGTATGTATGTATGTATGTATGTATGTATGTATGTATGTATGTATGTATGTATGTATGTATGTATGTATGTATGTATGTATGTATGTATGTATGTATGTATGTATGTATGTATGTATGTATGTATGTATGTATGTATGTATGTATGTATGTATGTATGTATGTATGTATGTATGTATGTATGTATGTATGTATGTATGTATGTATGTATGTATGTATGTATGTATGTATGTATGTATGTATGTATGTATGTATGTATGTATGTATGTATGTATGTATGTATGTATGTATGTATGTATGTATGTATGTATGTATGTATGTATGTATGTATGTATGTATGTATGTATGTATGTATGTATGTATGTATGTATGTAGGGACCAGTCTCTACAGAATTTAAAAAAGTGAATATTGTCACTTTTTTTGGCACAATTTTTGAACAATTTACACAAATCAACTGATTTTCTGCAAGAATTTTTATATGTTCCGAAAATTTTGGTTTACATAAAACTATTTTTCATTCATCACTCTACTTTTATTATTAAGCCAGTTATGGGCCATACAGTAATTTTGCCACCCTCATCAAATTCGGTTAAGAGTTTTTTGTTCCTACAAAATTTGTTGTTGTTGAATTTCCTAATGGACCGATACTCATAAAATTTGTTAGAGTTTTTTGTTCTTAAAAAATGTGTGTTGAATTTCCTCACTATCTATATATATAAAAATGAATGTGTGTTTATTTGATTGTGGGTTTGTTTGCAGTCTATAGACGTCTAAAATGCTGGACCGATTTTCTTAAAATTTTCACAGTGCCTTCCTGTATGTCTGGAAGGAACTACATGCTACTTTTTATTTAGAAATTTTAAGTGGGCGAGGTGCCACGCCTACATCCAAAATAATAATTAAAAGTTGCATATCTCAGAATATGCTAGAGTCAGATTTTGTATGGACAACTTTGACATCCATATGAACATATGTGGAAATGGGCGGCCTATCTATAGTGGGCGTGACACCTCCCATATAATAAAATCTGAAATTAGTATATCTGAGAAAATATAACAGAGTTCTCAAATTTTTCGGAGCTACTTTATTAACAACATGAATATTTAGGACAAAAAATAGGCGGACTAGCAATAGGGGGCGAGGCACCTCCCATATGAATTAAATAAAAAAATTAATTTATCTGAGAAACAATTAGAACTATAATTTTCAAATTTTGCAGGAAGAACTTTAAAATACATGTGAACATGTGGGGGAAAAACGGGCGGACATTCTTTAGGGGGGCTTGGTACCTCCCATATGAATTAAATGCAAAAATTTGTATATCTCAGAAACTATTAGAGCTGAAATACTCAAATTTTGCACGAATAACTTTGGCATAAATGTGAATATTTGGGTAATAAATTGGCGGACTAGCAATACAAACTATTAGACAGACCTGGGATAAGTGCATTAAGTATGTTAATGCATTAACAATTTTTTCAACATTAAAAAAAATTAATGTTAATGAAAGTTTTTGCATTAACATTAACATGGGTACATTTAATGCATTAAATTTGCATTAACATTAAATATTTTTGAATTTAATGCATTAATTTTACATTAACATTAATAATCTATATACATATATAAAAATGAAGTGTGTTGTATGTATGTATGTATGTATGTATGTATGTATGTATGTATGTATGTATGTATGTATGTATGTATGTATGTATGTATGTATGTATGTATGTATGTATGTATGTATGTATGTATGTATGTATGTATGTATGTATGTATGTATGTATGTATGTATGTATGTATGTATGTATGTATGTATGTATGTATGTATGTATGTATGTATGTATGTATGTATGTATGTATGTCGGTATGTATTATGTGTATGTATGTATTATGTATGTATGTCTTATTTATGTATGTATGTATGTCTGTATGTCTGTTATTTGTATGTATGTATTCATTATGTATGTATGTTATGTCTGTATTTATGTCTATGTCTTTCTTATCTGTATGTATGTCTGTCTGTCTGTCTGTATTCTGTTTCTGTATGTCTCTTATGTCTGTCTGTTTGTCTGTCTGTCTGTCTGTCTGTCTGTCTGTCTGTCTGTCTGTCTGTCTGTCTGTCTGTCTGTCTGTCTGTCTGTATGTCTGTCTGCTTCTGTCTGTCTGTCTGTCTGTCTGTTTGTTTGTGCTTTCTCGCCTGCTCCCCGGCTGGCCCGCTTTTCCTGCCTTTTCCCCGCTTCTTCCTGTCTGTCTGGGCCTCTCGGCTCCTTTTTCTGTTGAATTTCCTGTGGGCGACGTGCCCCGCCCATATTAAAAATATTAACTTATATCTGAGATAATATAATAGTTAGAGTCTTCAAATTTTGTCGGAGCAACTTTAGTATCAATATAATTATTTAAGACAAAAAGTGGGCGGATTAGTATTAGGGGGCGTGGTACCTCCCATATAAATTAAATACAAAAATTCGTTTATCTTGGAAACTATTATAGTTAGAATATTAAAAATTTGCACGAGTAACTTTAACATCCATGTAAACATTTTGGGAATTAAATTGGCGTACTACCCATGAGGGGAGCAGCACCTCCCATATTAATAAAATACAAAAATTGGTTTATCTGGGAAACTAATAGAACTAAATTCTTCAAATTTTGCACTAAGAACTTAAATATTCATCTGAACATTTTGGAGAAAAAAAAAGCGGACTTTCGTCATGGGGGGCTTGGGCCCCCATATAAATTAAATAGGAAAATTATTATATCTAAGAAACTATTAGAGCTAGAATCTTCAAATTTTAATTGAAGAACTTTGACATTCATGTGAACATTCAGAGAATAACGGGCGGACTTTCAATGGGGGGCTTGGCACCTCACATATGAAGTAAATACAAAATTTCGCTTATCCGGGAAACTAATAGAACAAGATTCTTCAAATATTGCAAGA